ACTCATCATTAAGACCATGAGCAAGAAATGCAGTCAAACTTTTTTCCAGAATCTGGCGGAAAAAAGTTGTAGCGCCAGAAAGGCGCCAAATGGCGCCAAACTAGCGTAAATTGAAGCTATCGGAAAAAAAAATGATGTCATATTCGTGATCAGGGCACTCGATATTCCCTAAATCAGAAGTTCTTGAGAAAATTGAGAATTTGACCTGGATCCGAAAAATTGGCCAGTGATAGGTCAGCCCATAGTTGCCTCCAGCCGGTGAACTGGAAACGAGTTCCCAGTTATCCTTCTCAAATAACGAGAAGTTCCACTGCTAAATGGACAATGGGAGACACCTGGTATGGGCAACAGCACCATGATTTTGAAGTCGGCAGATTCTCCCCTTCATCAAGACGTGGTATATTGGGTCCACGGCTCCTCCACTCGCAAGGCTGCGTGTCCATAGATGGAGCGATTTCAAGGACTGCGACATGATGGAAGATGTTCCCTATGAAACCGAACTTTAGTTCCCGTGAGCCGACAAGGCATTGCGCTTGATTTCGGCGCCGCACTCGTATTCAAGTCGCCCCTGGCGTGCATGACGACCTGTAGCCCATGGTCACCCCCTTTTTCGAAGTTAGGTCAAAACCTCGATTTTTCCTGAAATTTGGCATGTGGGGGTAGATCAGGGTCCTGATCACGATTATGGCGTTCGTTTTTGACGTCGGCGCCATTTGGCGCCAGTTTGGCGCTGCGAACTTTTTCCGCCAATTTTTGGTAGAAAACCCATTTGCAAGGGCTACTGACGGTCCTGAATGAGAATATAGCGTTAATTTTGACGCTGAAGCAATTTGGCGCCAATTTGGAGGTGATTATCAAAAATGCAAAAGTTAGCCCAGGAGCGGACTCGATCCACAAAGTCGTGCCAACCCCAGTCCACCACGCTATCCACTCGGCCACCTGCTCGCTGCGATGTGTAGGGTGCCGACGACGCCTATGAAACCTCTACACTTTCTTCAGCAGTACCACGTACAGTGCTTCAATTTTGAGCGAATTTCGAGTTGTTTTCGATATTATCTTCATCGGCGCCCTTCAAAATGCAGGTGGTCTTTGTACAGGTCCGAAACTTCACTCCAAGGCAGCAAAAACCACCCCTTCTTAACGAATTTTTTTCGACCATTTTTTGGCCTTCAGGGGGCCGCTCAGCGAAAACGAAACGCAGTATTGTGGTCTACGTGAGAGCCCTACAGCATGCAAAAAACCGTTTTGAAAAAGCTTCCCACACCCTGAACGACCTCCCTTGTGAGAGTTGAGATATCAGGGCCGCAATTACAAATATACCAGATTTGCTCAGAGCGGCAGGTACATGGAGGGATATGTTGATTAGCAGTGAACCATGCATTTAGCGCTAAGATGGCGTCATGTGGCGCCATCGCCAAATGGCGCGGCGCTAAAAAGCGGATGCCATTTTCATGCTCAGGACCACCGATTACCCCTGTTCCCAAGTTTACAGCGTAATTGGTGGCAAAAAAGGCCGTGGCGCCATTTGGCGCAAAATGGTGCAGGACGAAGTTGTCTATACCCTCGCCTTCAGATGCAGAAACTGACAAGAATGTAACTTCCGGAGGTAACCAAACCTTTACCGTAATCCCTTGGCGTCAAATAAACTGTGTTGTGCAGAAAAAATGCACACTTACACCAAACCTTACGCCATCGATTGTGACGCAACATGATGTGAGATCAATTTGCTCGATAAAGATTCTCAGAGGTGATTGATGATGCAATGCATTATAGACATGTTGGGAACAGCCATATCGAAGGATTCGAAGTCTGTATAATATGCTAATATGTGGGAAGGTTAGGAAAGATTGACTGTGCTTCCTAGCAGTATCCTGTACACTACGAATTCAATTTTGCCCAGTTGAGCGTGCAGTCATCTACAGGGGAGCTTTGCTCAAAAACAGGCGCATTTCAATAATTTCTGCCTTTACATCGTAGCATTTCTTTTCACGAGAGGAGCAAAAGCTTTCAGTGACTCCAAGCGTAGACTTTTTCCGAACTGAATGGTTCAGTTTCCTTTCATACCAGGAGCCATCGCCAGTTGTAGAAAGTTCGTAATATCCACAGAGTGGTTCTTCATCCAGGCCGCAGCTTCATGTCGAAGCAGGTCATGTCATCGGAATGTGAGTTCGCGTGCGGTGCATCGCTGCGCTTACAGACGCTTACACTCAGCGATCCTCAATGTTGACACCATAGAGATAGGTTCACTCGTGATTGTATGCTTAACATTGTCTCAGAATGAACGAATCAATACAGCCAACATCCCCCTCCCTATGTCGCCTTGAAACTGAGCCATAGGGCAACTAGAGAATGGGAGTGTAAGTAATTTTGATTTTTCCCATAGTTCCTCCCCTCACCGGTTCGGTCCGCACGATTCCTCACCCGACGACATCAGCGCCCATCTAAAGAAGAGTTTACGAATTCAACAACGCAAATGTAATGAATCTGCTGTAGCAATGCTATCGAAAACACTAACGATGCAGCGCCTTATGACCTCCTTTCCTCTTTCCCACTTTTCAGCAGTTTCACGATTACTGTGAAAGGTTTGGCGTGATGTTTGTTCGCTGAAATTCGAAATCATTGGCGTGAATTGCAGTGTGGTGTGCATTTCATCTGCACAATAAGTCTATTTGACGCCAAGGGGTTACGGTAAAGGTTTGGTTACCTCCGGAAGTTACATTCTTATCAGAAACTGTGCGATTGCACACATTTTCACATGCGATTGAACACAAGACCGTTTACCAAGCCAAATTCTGACGACTTATCCAGATTACCTTTGCGCCCGATTGACTTCTTACAAAGAAATCTGTTCCACAAGGAGAAAACATTGATTCGAACGACCTCGATTACAATCCCGGATGTGTTCAGTCGGAAAAACAAGCGTTAGAAGCATTTCGCTTTTCAGAAGAAATCGCTAGCAAATTCTGGGAATGCTGGAAAACCGAATACCTAGTGTCACTGAGAGAAATCCAAAAAATCCATCTCAGGCAACCAAGACACTTAAAAAGGACATGCCCCGAAATTGGCGAAATTGTCTTGGTCGAACAAGACCTCATTCCAAGAGGAAATTGGCCTTATGGAAAAATAATCGACTTAGTAACATCCACGGATGGCCTTACACGATCAGCGAAAGTCCTTATGCCAAACCATAGGACTATCCATCGACCGTTAAACAAACTGTTTCCATTGGAAATTCGGTGTGTAACCGAGCAGTCGACACCGCAAGAAGTACGCGTTGGGCAGCACCCTGAACAACCCAACACGCGGCCAATTTTGCAGCGAAGAACAAAAACAGCTGCATATGACATAATACGGAACTTCGAGAATGATCTTGAAAGCTCCCAGCAATCAAGCTCTGTGAAGATCCGAATTCTCATGTTCACATTCCTAGCCATCATATCATCAGCTACAGCACTAAACGTGAAAGCTCCCAGCAATCAAGCTCTGTGAAGATCCGAATTCTCATGCTCACATTCCTAGCCATCAGCTACAGCACTAAACGCGACAATGAATGTCAGCTGTGCTCAAGGAGAAAGTAAACATCCCCTTACATGGAAGAACCGTTCAGGTTATGCTTCGACGAGGAATGTCGAAATATATAAAACCAAACTACTTCACTACGGTACAACCTACCCATCTCACCGCTAGATAAAAAGGTTGCAGTAAGATGGCAACACCAACCAATCATGAAGAAAATGAGAAAGTCGTACTGTGTGATAGACCTAAATTTTGCGATGGCCACCATGTCCTATCAAAAACATTGCTGGGTAATCCACATTGTTGGCCAGAGGGCACCATCGTAACAACCGCTATCTTTGCTTATGTATTGGCTGTTATTCTACTTATCATTTCCTGCCTAAAGGAAAAAAGCATTCTAACAGTAGAACTAAAGGACAGCAGCGCTCAAAACGTTCCTGGGTCAGCAAGGCTAGTAGCATGTGCAGTATTATGGGCAATGATACCCACAACAAGCACATGCCAACGTGGACAAATGAGACGAAACGTAGATCTCATTTGCAATGAACAAAATCAATGTCACTTTGAATATAGTCGCGAGTTGCTCTTCAATAAGCTACAAAAAGAACTCTGCATTGAGATTGTTCATGAGAACAGAACAATCGGAACAGCAAAATTCTTGAAAAAGCCTGTCGAATTCAAATGCGTGAAAGTGACAGACTTACACGAGATCCACGAAGACTCGAGTGTACCATGTCGAAAGATGTGCGCTAGCTGGGTCATGCACAGCAAATAAGTGTAAAACCCCCGTGCTAATGAGACAGTCAAAGAGTTGAAATTTGCACTAAAATATCCGGGCTACTCTGGTTGCATCAGTAACTGCGGCGGATTAGTGTGCGGATGTCTCCTACCAATGCCAGCATGCTCCTTCTATAGGGTAGCTCATAGGCCAGAATCAAAAAGAGTATTCGAAATCATTCAGTGTCCGCACTGGGTTCCTACAATTTCGTTTGACATCGAGTGGGTGTTACTCGGTCGAAAAAAGACGTTCACTGTATCAATGAAACCATACGTGACCGAAAACAGAATTTTGGAAGAATTCAATATCACAACGATATCCCTGCAAAAACCAGCGAGTGCATTAGTAAACAAAAGATTTGCAATCTCAAACAACATGAGCCTCGCTCTACCGGACCATTTCGTAATACCGGTAGAGTGTAACAGTCAAAAACAAGCGGAAAACAACTTCGCAACGTGCGTAGGGCGAGTAAGGTGCGACTGTAAGCACTCGGTGCGAAGTTGTGAATGCCCGGAAGCGTCTATTCGCACCCTACATGGAAAAAGGGCTCTAGAAACACATATGACAAAATCGATAATAGGGGAAGTGATATTATTAGCATATCTGAAGAAGAATCGAGTCAAAAATAGTCAAAAGTATCAGCCGACTAAAAGTTACAAGGCTCTCTGGGTGCTACAAATGCCCTCAAGGTGCAGACTTCACTTACTTGCACATCCAACACCACCGGAATATTAACAGCCATTCGCGATTCCCAGGAATTCTCCTGTTCCTGCAAAACATCCGGGAAAAACAACTGGATTTTTCGCAGACCAGGGGCTTGGCAATGGGGCAACGACTGGCGCCCACCTTGGCTATAGCCTTCATGTCCAAAATAGAAGCGCCCGTAATCCATCATAGCCCCATACTCTACTGCCGTTATATCGATGATTGTTTTATAATGTGTTCAACGCAAGACGAGATGGACATGTGTTTCAACCTGCTCAATACGCAATCTGAGCACATTAAACTGACTCGGGAAAAACCCTCTGGAAACTGGCTTCCATTCTTGAATATCCAGGTGAAGCATCAGAGCGGCATACTTCGCACAAAGTGGTACAGGAAGCCGAGCAACAAGAACATCATCGTCCACTGCCAGTCGGCTCACCCTCTTCAGGTTAAACGAGCTGTTGTGAGGAACATGTTCCGAACAGCAGCGAAGGTCTGCACAGGAGAAGATGAACGGAAGGAGTCACTGAGGATGGCACGTGACATAGCAGCACTGAATGGCTACGAAACGTCTCCGACCTCCCATGGAGCAAGAGGTGGCAGCGCGGCAAGAAGATCAGGTGGTACTTCGCCAAGCGACAAAATCCCATTCATGGTACCATTCGTCTCCGATGAGGTCAGCACTTGCATAAGGAGGTGTCTGAGGAGGTCTGGTTTAGAGAACACAGTTGCCATTGTAAATATGCCACCCCACAATCTGAAGCACCGGCTTGTACGAAACCGCCTCTACGATCGCCTATGTACGACACCCAATTGTGTGGTTTGTCCGACTGGCAGGGAGGGCGACTGCATCAATCTCAGGGGTGGTCTATAAAATTACTTGTTGTAGATGTGGTGAGGAATGCGATCGCGAAACTGCGCAAGGCCGCTCTGTGTTAAGGTGGTCAAAAAGGACTGGAGCACTTGGAGGGCAAGAAGAGGTCACGGCTACGTCGACTGCCTTAGGGTCCAAATGCACAACGGGGACGACTTCGAGGTCAAGGTCGAGGTCATGGCGCAGGAATCGCAGACCGCCGCAAGGAAAACACTCGAGGCATTCTGGATTCAGGCCACTAGTCCACAAATGAACCGGAGGGAAGAATGCCTAACAATAACGCGGGAATTGAGGCCCTATATAAGGTTGGCCTTCCACCTGTGACTTTGAATCACAAACAGTCCGATCGCCTCACTGCTGTTCTGGTGGTCTCGACAACTGGACTGTATTACGGTAGGTGGCCCACCTTTGGATTGCGTGATGAGTTGTTTTGGTCTCGAACTTCAGTAGGGTTGCTGAGGCATTTGGTCGGGTAGTCATAAATTGTTTCGACCCTTTCAGGCTCTGAAGAAGGCGATCCCGCCGAAACGTAAGCCCAATAAAAGTTATTTGCCAACCTCGTGAGGAGCTTCAAAGAAGATATCAACAAGCTGCAATATGCCGAGGTTCATCCAAAGCCGTACGTGGAGACAACTGGATCCTGTTGAATTTCCAAAAATCACTAATTAACGAAGGATGTTCCGTTCCGTGTGGTGCAAATGGGAAAACTTTCATGTTGGAAGGCGCCCTCCATTACCAAATTTTAGCGGAGTGTTCCGTATTTGAATACAATACATACACTGCCGCGTTAGTCATCAGTTCTCAGATATTATCGTCCTGATATAGAACCTCTGATAAGGATTATTAGGCATCATTGGAAATTTACATTAGCAGCTATCGGGTCTGGCAATAGCCCTAGTTAGCAGGCGTTATCATATTTATTTGGCCCACTGGTCATCATCTTTCTATTGAAAGCAGCATTTAATATTTTGTCGGTCGTTGCCTGAACGTTGAAACGGATTCTATGCAATGATGAATTGTTCTGAGGGCCACACACTCTCGGTACCTACAGCGTTGGGGAAGGCCACGCTTATATTCTCTCTGCTCAATAAATATATCACTGAACCACCTTCCTTGTTTCTCAAAAAGGGTAGTCAAAACCCAGTCTTCAAGATTTCGTAAACCTTCAAGTCATTGAATGGTGCGACACAGCTTGGTATTGTTCGTGGAATTTCAGGAAATCAACAAGAAGTGGCGTGCCAAAAAGCCTTCTCGATGCTACCCAATGAAAGTTGTTGGGTCAGAGCATAATATCGTAGCGCTCGCATTCGGCAAAAACGTTTAAAGCAAAACCCAAAAGCAAAGCCAAGCATAAAACTGATCAGTGATGTTCTTCTCGTCATTATTTACGACTTTGGTTCCATTTCGCAAGAAATTACCGGGTTTAGAAATCAAAAAAGGGTACTGAGCCCGTTTTCAGAATCCTCATTATTCTCAATTGTACGACGTGAATATGATTTGAAATTAAGGGACGACCGGAATAAGGCTCGATAATGACGATAGATTCCTCTGAGCACCATATCTGAGTAAACTACAATATGAAAAAAATGACAAACAAGGTATTGTAGAGCGGAAGAAGTACTTTCAAATGATATATGTGATTTCCTGGGTAATACTTGTATTCACTGAATTCGTAGCTCGAAAAGAAAAACGCTACGATATTAGACCGATGTCATAGTAGGCGACGGACCAAGCGATGGAGCGATCGC